GCAGCCCAGAGTTTAGCATGCTCCTTGGCATGCAGGAAGTGCCCCACAAAATAGCTGAACGAACCAGAAGTGGTCATTAATGGCCTTCAAGTATCCCAGACCCCACTCTCTCTCTCTTCTTCCTCCTCCTCCCTCTTTTTTCCCCTTTACTTGCCCTTCCTTCCTCCCTCTTCAATCTTTCTATTCATTCCTTCTTCCTTCCTAGGCCTTGGGTCCACCTGTAGCTCCAAAGAACATTGTTTAAGCCAACAGAAAAGTTAAAGAAAAAGAAAAGTTGCCACAATCTGGCATAATGCATTGGCCTTCAACTTCATGGACCCAAAGTGAGGGCCTAGAGAGGGAACCCATGTTCCTCCTATAGTAGTTACCTGGGCTGCCATAACGAGTACCACAGATCCATCTTTTCCCTGCATCTTTTCACGTCAGCTTTCCTCTATGTGCGTCTCTGTGTCCCAATTTCCCCTTTTCATACAGACACCAGTCATCCCTAATGGTCTCATGTAAGCTTGATTACCTCTTATCTCTCAATAAGGTCACATTCGGAAATACTGAGGGTTAGAGCTTTAACATGAATTTGAGAGGAGACACCATTCAACCCATAATACCTAATACCTACCTTCCACTGCCCATTGCCCCAATCCTTTTTGACTTCCTGAATGAGGTAAAGGTAGGGAAGCACAGGGACACGTCATCTTCTGAAGAAATTGCATGGGAGTCAGGGAACTGGGGTGGACAAGTTAGGAATGTGAACCAGAAGAACACCCACAAGTGAGAAAGAAGAGGTGACTGGACAAAGAACAAAAACTACTCTCACAGACTAGTCTAGGGACTGCGCCTTGGTCATCTGCCAGTCCTGAGTTCATCTCCCAGATCCACCAGTCATTAGCAGTAGGACCTTTCCCTTCCCATGTAAAATGTGGATGATAACAGCACCCAACTGATGAGGTGGTTGTGAAGATGGAATGAGAAGATAGCATATGTGAAGGGCTTAGTGGCTGTGCCAGGTACATGATACCTCAGTATGCAGTAGGTGTGCTCTCAATGTTATTATTATAAGTAGAGGTCTAGTCTAAGAAAAGTGGTACTTCAGGACAAAAGTGATGACAACGAAGAGGCTAACTGCTATGTAGTCAGGCCATGTGACTCTGTATTCTCATTAACAGTAATGAAGACAAGCGAACCAGAACAACTGTCACACCTGGGCGTCCAAAATGGTGTTCTGTGGACCAAAGCATCAGAGACACCTCCTCCTACCCAGGAAATGCAGAATCCTGGGTCCCTCAGGAACCCAGCTGAATTAGGACTTTTATGGCAGGACCAGAAACCTAATTTTTAAGCAAGCTCCCCTACGACTCTTATGCAGATTAAAGTTCGAAAACCCCCAGACTGGACCACAGGTCTAGAAGGGCAAAGGTGAGTCTTGTCTACTAGAAATCCCCACATCTACACAACCTAGTGCAAGGTGGGATCACCTTTCTAATGGAGTCAAAGAAGTGATCTTGAGCACTTATGCATAAAACAAACTTCTGTAAATCACATTTTGAATGTTTCCTTTTGGGGATTGCATTGGCAAGTCAAGTCTTTCATATTAGTGTAAACTTCACTGCACCCAGGCACTAAGTTCTAGTTTGTCTATTTCTCCTCTCCCCCACCCTCCTCCAACTAGAGTCATCCATTCTTGACTTCAGCTTAGCTCAAGATGACCTCCGACCTTAGGCCTGAGGGATAAGGAGCCCTGACCCAGCACCCTCTGTGCCTCTGTCTCTTGTTAGGCACCAATTCCTCTCTTCTTGGACATCATCACTGTTTGATTCAGGAGCACCTGAGGCCACCTTGCCTGCATTCATGCCTTGTTCCTGAAGACCTGGTCCCAAAAGCCATAGCTCCTCAAGGTGGAGATTCTTTCCATGGGCCGAGCTGATGTCCTGCACCCCTAGGCTGAACTTCAAATCCTGGCCTACTTTCTAGATCGTTAGATATCTCCTGCTCCTGAATTCCTGTCACCAAACTCCACCTACCTCTCCAGACACCTCCAGTGATTCCCCGAGAACACAGATGGCATACCGGTTAGGAACACAGCCTGGTGTGAGGTGTGGCTCTGCCACGTGGTGACTGTGTGACCTTAGGCAAATGGCCCAGCCCACCACGCCTCAATTCCTGCAGCTACAACACCCCTATTTCATAGGGTTGTTGTGAGAATGTGGTGAGGTCATACACATAAAGCTAAGCACAGTGCTTGGCACAAAATAAGGGCTCAAGAAACGCTGGTAATCAGCACAAAGTTTTTTTGTTTCTAGATGTTTAGAGATATAAGCAAATCTCCACACAAAACCATAGCACCCCCAGGCTGCCCAAAATGTGGCTCTAGTGGTCACTCACAGGGTATCATTTTGGACCTTGGAAGGCCCAGATCGTTCCCGATCACTGGCCAGGCCTAGGGATTCTACCCGTGCACAAATTCTGTGCACCAAGCCTCTGGTAATAGCAAACACATAGTAATCACTACAAACTAGGCACGGGGCTAAGAGCATTACTTATTTGGTCCTTTTAACAACAAGGTTGGTACTTTATTACCCCATTTACAGATGAGGAAACTGAGGCACGAAGTCACAGAACTAATAATTGTCAGAATCTGAATTTGAACCTCAGAGAGTCTGGCTGCAGACTCTACACACTCAGGCACTAGGTTATGCTGCTTTTCTTAAATAATAAAAGTTAGGAATCAAAATAATTAGTATTCGCACTCACCCTCTTCTCTCCCTGTAGGCCACTGGCCCGGTGCTTGTCTTTACTCCTATATTCTGGACACCTTCACTTCCCTCCTGAGTTGGACATTCTGCCAGCCCAGCTCATTCTCTGTTACCTGCCCTTCCAGGTAGGTCCCCTCTGTTCTCTATGGTTGAGTGGGCTGGATGCTGTCACATGTTGAGTTGGGACACCTTGTCAGTACTCAATAAATATTTGTTGATTAGCAGATCCTTTCTTGAGGAAAAAATACTCATTCCCGTTCAATTTATGTGTCATGTATAGGTGTTAAATTTGCCTAAACCAGGGTATGTCTGTGGCAGAAATGTCTGAATATTATCTTTCCCATATCTTAAACTGAGGATATTACATTCGCCAAGCATGCCTGTCAGATAAGGATCTTCCACTCATCCTGGAAGTTAGCACGGCTGCTCCATGAGCCTCAGTAGTTGATTCAGGGTCCACAGAGTGCTTGTCAGCAAAAGTGAACCAGCACGCACTCTGTCCTGGGACTAGATGTCTGTCTGTCCCTTTGCTAGGCGTGGAAGGAGCGTATAGGTGTCCAGCCACCATCATCACTGAAAATATGATCGTCATGGTTGGTGCTGCCATAAACTCAAGCCACTTAACTGAATTCTGCTTCCTTAAATCCTTTTTTTTTTTTTTTAACCAGGCAAGCCACATATGGGTAAGTGCACACCAGATTTAGGAGGGAGTTTACAAGAAATTTAGTGTTTTCTCCATTCGTTTTTTTGTGTATTAACTTCACTGCTGGTCAAGGACTTTATTTGCAAATCCATCTACTCCTGTGATAAAGGCAGGCCCTGCAGAGGAAGGGCAGCCCGCCAGCTGCCCTCGGCAGCAGGTTCAGTGCTCTTCCTTCAGATACACAACCTCAGAAGGGGACTTTCCTAGGAAGTCCTCAATGACCAACACAAAGAAAACAAAGGAAAAGGGGATTGGTGACGATGAATCATAGTCTGAACCAAAATCCACACTCATTCACACTAATGGCCCCAGTAAACAGCTGGCCAACCCTTCACTAACCACTGCTCTGCAAAGCCCATTTCTTTTCAGCCCTTTGCCACCCTCGGGCTGGCTCATCCCCATGCAGAGCCCGGCTCACCCTCTGCCCAGACGCTCGTGTCCTCCCCCTGGTGTTTGTGGAGTGAACTCGTAAACAATCCAACCCCTGTAGCAAAGGGAAGGGAAAGTGCTGGTCACCAAAGCAGAAAGGAAGGCACAGCAGGGGGGTGGGGGGTGGCGATACACAGTGAGAGAAAGCACCATGCTTACGTTTTGCTGGGGCACAGAGAGAGCTCTTGGACCTGAGAAGTGGGATCAGGTGGGTGCCTGCCCTCTTGGGTCTCCGAAAACTGTGTACTCGATAAAAATGCCTGGAATTCCCACCCCAGCACCCGGAGGTCTGAATTTTTCCAACTCTCCTGTCTGGAAGCCTTGCATACTTTGGTCATGTAATCGCGATGTGGGTGTGGCTTGGCTTACGTGCCAGAGAATGTGACATTCCTGCTCCTTCTCAGCCAGTGCCTACCTCAGATGAGGATGTGATTTTCCAAGAAGACCAGAAGGCTGGGTGAAAAGTGATGCAGGTCATCGGCGGGGCCCTCAGAATACCACCCTAGTGAAAAATACATGCGGATAATCCCACACGTCGGCCGGGTTTTTACAGGAGCAGGTTGATTACAGTCTAAGGTGCCCACCCAGTGGACAAGCTTCCTGAGGCAGCTGAATTTCCAGGCTCCCCAAGTGGGTGAGTGTGACACACCAGGAGAACGCCAGCCACTCGCTAAGGCCACAGCTTTCGACCCTGCCAACCACAAGGGCCGCATCCAGCACTTGAAGTAAATGAGAACATTCCGCCCCCTCTAGTCATCGGACTGGCAGCGGGGGGAACGGAGATAATGGGGCAGCCTGGTGCAGGATCGTTTTGACAGTCTCTGAATTGCAAGTGCTGTTTTTGCATTGAAGCCCACCCCCACCCCCACCCCCCAGAGCAGTCTGTACCACGGTTTAAACCCAGCCAGAGGGGAGCCCCTGGGTGCTCCCTTGCAGGCATGCTCTTCGCAGTGGTATCTGCTTAAAACATCTCACTGCTTTCATTTCCCCCTGTTATCTTCCCTCTCCATGGAGCCTTATACTTACACTCGGACACACACACACACACACACACACACACACACACACACTTGGATAGAACCCGCTCTTGTTCCCCAGAACAGAAGCCCGATTCTTACCTGAGGGCTTGCAGGCTGAGGGCTGAGCCTCTCTCCCTCCGAGGGGATGGGAATCCGCCTGGCGTTCTCCGCTGTGTTTGTCACTGTCACTGCGCTGCAGTGCTTCCCTGGCAGGCTCAAGCCGGCGCTCGATCGCGCTCTCTCTCTCTCTCTCTCCTCTCTCTCTCTGCAGTTCTGTGTGGGGAGAGGGAACGGGCCGTGGCATGCACACCGGGTTGCTGGTCCGCCTCCAGACACCATGCCACAGAGCCGGCTACCAGTCCGTGGGCCGTGTGGGAGGCAGGGAGGCCGTTGGGGGCCGGGGGAGGGCTGAGATGTCAGCCTTTAGGCCTCTCCCTGGCCTTGTTTATCAGCAGAGGGGACCTGTCTTTAGACAACCACCCACAGAAATGTACACAGAGCTCTCATCTAGCAGCAGGCCTAGGAACTTGGAGCTATTGGCCAGCAGGGAAGGGAGGCCGAGACAGCAGACAGTGGCAGCAGCTATCCGGGTGTTGTTTTAGCGTGGTTTGTCTAGGGGCAAATGGCTGAACCGAATGGACTACTGGCCCGTCTGAGCAGAATCCTGTTTATTTTGAGGCCTCAGTTGCCAGGGAAACAGCAGGTCGTGGCTCAGAGATGCTTCTCTGGAATCAGAAGGCTGCTCTGTCATCTGGCATCCCTGCACAGGGTGTAGGTGTCTGTGTGTGGCGAAGTGTGTGTATGTGTGTGCCTGTCTGTGGCGTTCCCAGAGCCAAGCCTTGCAGAGGATGTTTGCAAAGCCACGCGAGGCAGTGGCCATCTCGGTTGGGGCTGCAGAGAGACTATTCCGCCCCCGTGTCAAGCCTGTCCCTGCTGCACGAGGCGGACCATCAGGTGAGCCCAGCTTCAGGGGGGGATTCAGGGGCGGGGGTTTCTTCAGAGAACCATGCACACCATCTTTATGCCATGGCCGGGAATGGGGTAAGAAAGGCAGGAAGTGGCCTGTGCAAGCCATTCCTTGGTTGGTAGGCGGGGACTAAGATGGGCTGAAAGGCATGGATCAGGAAGTATCCTTGAAGAGATCAAATGGAAACAGGATGAAGAGACCCCTCCTTGTTCATGTGACCCGGGAGGTGTGATTGTGAGACTGTGTGTGTGTGCGTGCGCGTGTGTGCGTGCGTGCGTGCGTGTGTGTGTGTGTGTGTGTGTGGGCAAGCCTCCCCACCTGATGAGTCAGATAGACAAGTACAACTTGACCTGTTGGAACTGGAAACAGGTTCTCTGGCCTCTCCCTCCTCTGGGAAGCTGGAGGTGGAAGCTTGTTCTCCACACTCATCAGGGTCACCCGGGAGCCTTTCCTGTGCCCTCGGCAGGGCTGAGCCTCGGAGAAGCTCATCTCACCGCCTGTGACAGAGAGCTAGAGGCACACCCATCACATGGCTCGGATCATGACGAGCAGCAGCTCTCCTAAAAGGGACCTGAAGGAGCAGAAAAAGGTTTTTTCTCCAAACTTTATTAACTGGAAACTCCATGAACTGCCAATAACTTCCACATAGCCAGGTACTGACAGTTTACTTTGAAAAAATAATAACCTTGCCCTGGCAGAGTGACTCAGTTGGTTGGAGCATTGTCTTATGCACTGGAAGGTCGCAGGTTCAATTCCCAGTCAGGGCATATGCTCAGGTTGTGGGTTTGATCCCCGGTTGGGGTGCTTATAGGAGGCATCCAATCAATGTTTTTCTTTCACATCAATTATTCTCTCTCTTCCTCTCTCTCTAGAATCAATGAAAAACATACCCTCAGGTGAGGATTTAAAAATAATAATAATACAGTAATAATAATAATAATAATAATAATAATAATAATAATCTCCCTGAGTCTCTGCATGATTCCTATGGGCCTTCTGAATGATAGAAAGATAAAAATATTTCGGATAATTGTCTTCTCAATATTAAAGAATTCTACTGCATTGGTGTGTGTGTGTGTGTGTGTGTGTGTGTGTGTGTGTTCTTTTTCGCCATGTGGAATGATGGATTTTTAAGTTAGGAAACGCCTTAGAAGTCCAAAGCTAGAGATGCAGTTGAGTGTCTCCAGAGCGCACCCCTGATTAAAGTGCTCCTTGCGTCTGAAACCGGATTAACATCCTTGAACCCACCCACTCTGTGGGGTTGACTAATCCTGGGCACCTCGGCTCTTCAGGACATTGAATTTCCTCCCTCTTCACAGAGATGAACCAGATGCTCGTAACCATGCCTTCCCTGCAAGCTGGCAGGATTATTGTGACAATCAAACGTGCTAAAGTGTGAGGGCACCTTGACACTGCAAGGCGGTGTAAGTCATTCCTGCAGCTTTGTTTCTCCATCACACACAGTTGCGAGATGATGTTACACAAAAACAAACTGCGCAGCTCTTGGGCAAAGGATCGCCCCCTTGCTACTGAGAGAAGTGGATTTCCTTACTGCATATCAGGTGTTCGGAAATGTTCCTGTCCAAATGCTGGGAAAGAATGGCGCCTTGGGTCCTCACAGTATTTACTGTAATAGAATTCCCTCCAGTGTTGACATGTCTTGAAAGTGCAGTTTAACATCCCTCAGGTTCCCTATTCATTCCAACTTCCAGGCCAAGTATCTAGATTTATCTTTTCAATAATATACATTGAGATGGTTTGAGCCATGAAATATGTTCATGGTTTTTGGCCTCATTTAGTGTGGGAAGGGACATGGAGATGGCTAGTTTAAATTCTGGCCTCAGAATAGCTCCAGCTCTGGGCCAGGAAATAATAGCTGTGGAAGCCATGTATTAGGCACCCACAGTACGCCAGACCCAATACACAGAATGTAACAGAAACCCCATCTTCCCTCAAAGTTCTGAGACCACTTTTAATGACCTTTCTGCTGTGATTAAAACCTTGTCATCAAGTCCACTAGTGCTGCAGAGGCTGGTTCTGAGCAAAGAAGAAAATGACAGATTTGGAGGACCAACAAACGTCCTAGTTAGAAGCCCGTTAGGTGTATCCACAGAAGTGTGGCCTTGGCCGGAGTCATCCACATCAGAGATGCGGCTGCTGCCGAAGGTGAGATTTTGTCCTTCCGCATCCTAAGAGATTGACTCCCGAGTATTTGCACAGTTGCTATTTTAGAAAGTGGCTCTAAACCTCTCCTAAGCACTTTAGAAAAATAATAAAAGAGAATGTGGCATTCCCATGATTTTCCTCATCCTGTGCTCAGTGCCTCTGAAAATCAAGACATAAAACAATCATTTTTAAATTTTTTGTTGTTAATCCTTGCCCAAGGATATTTCTTCCTCAAAACCCCCTGCCCCCCAACTGACTTTTAGAGAGTGTGGAAGGGAGAGGTAGAGACAGAGATAGAAACATGGATGTGAGAGAGAGACATCGATTGGTTGCCTGCCTCTCCCCATGCACTGGACCCGGGTGGGGATGTATCCTGCAACCTAGGTATGTGCCCCTGATTAGAATAGAAACTGAGACCCTTTGGTCTGCAGGCACATACTCTAATCATTGAGCAATACTGGTCAGGGCAAACGATCACTTTTTAAAAATATATATATTTTATTGATTTTTTACAGAAGAGGGAGGGATAGAGAGTTAGAAACATCAACGAGAGAGACTCATCGATCAGCTGCCACCTGCACATCCCCTACTGGGGATTTACCTGCAACCAACGTACATGCCCTTGACCGCAATCGAACCTGGGACCTTTCAGTCCGCAGGCTCTACGACTAAGCCAAACCGGTTTCGGCCAAACGATCACTTTTTAACTGCACCAACAGAAAAAAGAATCAGGGCATGAGAGAATCAGCAGGGTTCAACATGTTCCCAATAAATACTTTTTTTTTTTTTTCTCTCCAAGTATAACATATAAGCCCTGGCTTCTTGTCCTTAAATCTTAAAGCTGACAGTCAATATTTGCTGTAAAATTTCTCCTTTGTTCATCGTGTTTACGTAAGTGATACAGTTAGGTGGAATGCACACCAGACACACTGCATTTTCTTTCTAATCTCATTTGACCTTGATAGGACTCACAAATCCTCATCAGCTGATGGAGAAATCAGATGCTGCATGCCACTCTCTCCCTCTGGCGAAGGATTTCCTTCTGTTTATGCCCAATCATGCAATTAGATGAAGGGCATGCTGGCCTCCTGGTGAACCAGCTGCCAACAAGAAGGAGGGGAGCGATTTGACAAACAGGCAAAGGGAAATGCAGCAGACGCCACGGGAAATTGTATTAGTTGACGAAGGAGACCTCATAACCACAAATATCATCGGAGCTGCAGGACTGGAATGGGGTCCAGCAGTTTCCAGTGGGAAAATGCCTCGCCCTGTCCCCATTATAATACAAGGACAGGAGTAACACCCCTTGGTCAGCCTGACTCTCTGCCCCACTTTGGACAGGACACTTGCAAAGGGTCATACTCATGGGAGGTGGGCTTCGTCTCTCTGACATTGATCACCCATCACTTATTCTATTTTATGTTTCCCTCCATCTCAGTTTTTCAATCTTTATTTTAAAATATTTTATCTTTGAAGAATAGTAATGCTTTATGCACATCATAAAAATGTACAATACACTGAAAGGTATAAAATGACCCTCCTTAATCCCCTTTCCCCAAAATGTAACCACTATTAACTTTTTTTTTTTTTTATCCTTTCAAGGGGAAAACAAAGTGTCTTTGTACTCCTGAATGTGTGTATGCTTAAGAACAATTTCCTATGCACAATGTCCTGCATTGCTGTTTGTTTTTCATTTGCTAATGGATCTTTGCGCATTGGTCTAGTCCATCCAAGCACCAATATTCCTTGTCTTAATTATTGCAATGTCCTCCTAGCTGCCCTCCCTTACCCCCTACAGTTCATTTCAGAGGGATCCTGCTAAAAGGTAAACAGATCATGTCCCTACTTGCTCAACACTGTCCGGTGCCTTTCTCCTGCACTAAGACCAAGAGCTGAGCTTGCTACCACCACCTGCCTCTTGAAGCCCATCCCCTACTCACCCCTTGCTCATGGTGCTCAGTCATCCTGCTCCTCATATAAGCCAAGCATGGTCCTACCTCTGAGCCTTTGCACTTGCTGTTCCCTCTGTCTAAAGTGTATGCATTTATTTTCTGCCCCTTTATTCTTTGCATAGCTGGCTCTTGCTTACCATTCTGATCTCATTTTAGACTATCTCCTACCCGACCACCTGTTCTAAGCAGCCCCTCTCCACTGTCCTTCACATAGATTTTTTTTTTCATAGATCCTACCACTATCTGAAAATAACTGTATTCAGTTATTAGTTTTCTGTCTCCTTCTACCACACACTCACTGGGATATAAATAAACTTCATGAGTAGGCAGGAATTTTATCTGTCTTATCATCATTATAGTCCCAGTTCCTACACCAGTACTTCTCAAACTCGAATGTGCATCAGAACCATTCTTGGCCCCAACCCCAGAGTGTCTAATTCAGTAGTCTTAGTTGGGGCTGGAAATTTGCATGTCTAACAAGTTCCCAGGTGATGCTGATGGTGCTGGTTCAGGGATCACGCTTTGAGAACCATCTGTCTAGAAAGTGCCTATTAGACACGCAGTGGGTGTTGCATATATATTTATTACACCAAGGCATGAGTCTGAACATAGGATCTGCCACCTTCTTTATAGGGGCATTTCCACTTTGTAGTTCTATTTCCACTTTTATATTTATTTATACTAATTGCACTGTGAGCCTCCTTACATTCTTTGTGATGAGGGGGGGGAGGGGCAGTTTTTTCCAGCTCCATTGTTTTGTCAACGGATGATTAGAAACCTACAGTTTGGTCCATGGGAGCCAGTTAGAGTTGCATCTGGCTCTCCGTCTCAGTAAAATGTCAAACTGAAAGGTGGTGTGACCCTCACCTGACATGTGACAGAGAACTTCACCCGGGAGTCATCGATCAGGCCTCCCCTATAATTGTTTTACAACAGATCTGTTGGCTAGGACTCTGTGTCAGTTGCTGGGAGGTGCTCAGCTGGTCTACATGGAACCCAGGTTATGAAATACAGAGAGCATGGTGGCTTTTTGTAAGTCACAAAAAAACCTGAGACTCTCACAAGGTCTATAACTATAATTATTTCCTTGGGTTTGTTCTCTCTCTCTCTCTCTCTCTCTCTCTCTCTCTCTCTCTCTCTCTCTCACACACACACACACACACACACACACACAGGTGTGTGTGGTTTTTTTTGTTTGTGTGTGTGTGTGTATTTTTGTTTTTTTTTTTACATTTAATTTCAGAAAGTTATAAGATACCCTAAACTCATTTTAAGCCCAAATTTAAAACTCTCAATCTAATCATTAGTTAGTATTTGGTAAAACAACAACAACAACAACACACGCACAAAAAACCCTGCATCCCCCATTTGTTGCTTAAATTCCCGAGGAACTGCAGCTTTAAATATAATAAGACAAACCTTAAAAGAAAACACTAAAGGAAAGCATGAAAGAAACTCATCGTTATCATCGTCGAATGGGGAATGCTTTTGGAAGCATGATTGGAAACACAGAAATGGAAACAGAATAGTGAGACTGAGACCATGAAATTTTAAACGATCTGTACAAAGAAGAAGGAAAAAACTCCTCCTAGATTAGACTGTGGAGAAATCTATGGATCCTATGTTTTCCATCTCTATATTTTCCCCTTGAAGTGTCTGGGTGGCCGATGGCCAATGCAGTGAGTCAAGACAGAAGCTCACGGGGACAGATCTTTCAGTGAAGCCCTATCACTGGGTTCATTATCTCATTAGCCAAGGTTTGGGTTTTCCACAACTTTATTGTGATATAATTCATATAGCATGCAGTTCACCATTTAAAGTATATAACTAAGTGGTCTTGGTATATTCACAAAGTTGTACAGTCCTCACTACTTATTTTAGAAGATTTTTGTCATCCCCAAAAGAAACCCCAGGCACATTAGCAACCATTCCCCGTTTCCCCCTCCAGCCAGACCCAGGAAACCACTAATCTATTTTCTGTCTTAATAGATTTGTCTGTTCTGGCCATTTCAGATCAATTAAATCGTACAGTATGGGTTTCTTTCCCTTAAAAAGCATAATGTCCTTAAGATTCATCTGTGTTGTATCATGTATCCAAATGTACTTCCTTTTTATTGCTGAGTAATATTTCTTTTTTAAAAATATATATTTTATTGATTTTTTTACAGAGAGGAAGAGAGATGGATAGAGAGTCAGAAACATCGACCAGCTACCTCCTGTACACCCTCTACCGGGGATGTACCCACAACCAATGTACATGCCCTTGACTGGAATCGAACCTGGGACCTTTCAGTCCGCAGACCAACGCTCTATCCACTGAGCCAAACCGGTTTCGGCATTGCTGAGTAATATTTCATTGCATGGATATGCCACATTTTATTTATCCACCCAACAGTGACTGGACACTTGGCACCTTTCCTCTGGCTGTCATGCACAGCGCTTCTATGAACATTATGTGCAAGTTTTAGTGTGGAGATGTTTTCATTTCTCTTGGGTTTATCAGTGGTTTTGCTCTTAAAAGATTTATCCAAAGAATTGTTCTTACTTTTGGTTTTCACTTTTTTTCTGTTATAACCCCCAGAGAAGCAAGCAGGCTTGGATCCTAATGACTCAGAGCTCCTCTGTCCCCAGTCCGGGCCCTTCTCTGCTCCTGTGTGATCTGGATATGACTCAGTTTTGTGCACCAGCTCTCACGGGATATTGTGAGGACTCCCGACATCAGACATATAGGATCTGCTCTTGAGAAGAGGCTCACCCACAGGTTAGTATGCAGATACCTCTAGCACCACTGACGCCTGCACCAGCCTTGAGGCCAGTGTCTGGGTGTAGAGGCACTGATAGTATAAAAAACAGTGACCATTTTCTCAAGAGTGTGGCTTTCTTTGAGATCAGAATTTGGTTGCTTTCAGAATCCTGCAGGGTACCTCTGAGGAAGGCCTCCTGCCTGGTCTCCCTGGTCTGGAGGCAAGAGAAAGGTCAGGTCAGGGTCATGCCTAATGATGGGCAGCTGGAGGGGCCCGTGCTCCAGTTACTGTTTCCCAAAGACTAATCTACCCTCATCTAATTAAAAAGCACCTTGCTCTCTATAGAACCCCGAGGCACCTCCTTTTGTGCTGTCACTGTGCTCTTGACCTTGTTGTTGGCTCTGGGGTAGGGTGTGACCCTGCACCATTGGGTACAATCTAATATGGACCCCTTGTAGAGACACTGGGAGCACAGGGGGCAGAAGGGGGATCTAAAATATCTGAGCTTCCTCATGCTTCCTGACCAATCACTTGTGCCTCTTTCTCTTTAAAATCAGGCACCAGAAAGCTCCACTCATAAACACGTAAACGATGAATTTAACAGGAAATGAGATGGCAGGCATGCCTGGGCTCTAACTCCCATGTCACCAATTACTAGCTATTAACAGGCGTCTTCAAACTACGGCCCTCGGGCCACATGCGGCCCGCAGAGGAGTCTGATCCGGCCCGCCAGGTTTTTTGGGCAGTGAGTGCAGCCGAGGTGTTACAGTAGGAATTAGTAGTTCATATAATCCGGCCCTCCAGCTCTCTGAGGGACCGTGATCTGGCCCCCACTTTAAAAAGTTTGAGGACCCCTAGATTCTAGAACAAGTCTGTTCTCTTAGACCCAGTCTTCCCACGCAGTAAATGGGGAAAAAAATAGCAGTAATTGTGCCTCAGGTTCATTATGAGGATTATCTGACACAATGCCTATAGGGACTCCAGCATACCTTCAGAATTCAATGTTTGCTATAATTATTATATTACTTTTAAAATCAGAATTAAGGACCTCAAGAAATCTAGCCATTCTCTCTAAGCTGTTCAGTAAGGCTGGTTTTCTGTTACTCAACTAATTGGTAGCACTTAATCAGGCACCTACTATGTGTAAAACACCACAGAGAAGACTGGGGACGAAATCTGACTTCCCTCCCCAGAAATGTAAAAGTCAAGCTGCAAGAGAAACTTAGGTGCATGAGGTTCTTAAAGAACATGTGCACAGATAATCCTGAGAGTCAGTGCCATCATGCTCAGAGAGGGAAACAGCAGAAAAGGCAGACAGGCCAGATGAGGCCTCAGGGAGGCAGCACCCCTTCCTTTGAAAGGCAAGATGGGTTCACAGCAGCAGAACAGAGGGAGACAGGAGTTGGGAGGGGAGACCTGCGGGAGCACAGGGTGTCCAGTGGGTCTGGACATGGTGACTTGATCTGGGCACTGGGCCAGAGTCATTTCACACTGCCAGGGGGTCTCTAAAAATGCCATGCTATGGGTCCTTCTACTCACCTGTTTTGCAACCTCTGTCACTAATAATTGTGGGCGGGCTATAAGAGAAAAGGAGGAGTTGTGCTGGAAGAACTATGACTCTTGATGGAGACTATGGCGCAGAGCAGCGGAGAGACAGCCTTGGCTGTCCTGCCCCCTTCTCTGGGACCAGCACCTTGGGCAACTATGGGGACCCAGCCCTTCATGGCCTTCAGTCCATGTGGTTTTGGACAGGGATGATTACAGCCCCAGGGAGGGATGGGCACAGGACCCACCAGGGGCAATGAAACGTGCCACTGAGACGGTAGCTAGAACTGCTGTAGGGTGGCTGTGCCAGCAGAGTGTCAGCCTGGAACTTGGCTGCCAGCCATCTCGCCACCATGATAGATAAGTCTTCCTGAGAAGAGAATAGAACACAGGGAAGCAAAGCCAAAAAATAGGGAAAGATGGATTCGAGATGCCACTGTCTGCACACCAAAGCCCTGGGAGTTTCCATTACACAAGGGGGAACGTTTGCTTTTTGTTTTGTCTTCATCCTCCACAGACTAGGTTTCAGACCATTGTTACTAAAAGAATCCTGACTTATTCGGGTAGTTGTCTTGTTCCCACCGGCATTGTGTTGGCCTATCCCTAGCATAGGTATTTGTAGTCCATAGCTGAGGGGCGGTGTGTGACCAGGAATAATGGTACCTGTGTACGAGTGATGGAGACCTTTATACATGTTCCTAAATGTGCACAGGTACATGCATGTCACGTGTTTGGGAGTATGCAGATGTTAGAAGGAGAAACCAAGACTCTGCAAAATATCTTTCTCTGCTTTGTGCTTTGACTCTGCTTGCAAAATAATTCTCCCCGAACCTTTGATTTTGTTCCTCTCATTCTCAAACAAGAAAGCATCCCTTAGATCTGTTAGGTACATTTTGCAGGGCCCTGAGAAGCCAGGAAGAGATGGAGAAGGAGCTGAGGGGAAAGGAAGCTCCCCATATCCCATTTCCGTGTTTTCCCCTTTTGCCCAATTACCAAGAATCAGCTGGCATCCTTTCATCTCCTACTTCACGCAGGGCTTTTAAAAACGAAGCATTAACTCTACTGCAATAGGATTTGTCTAACGATTTCCTGCGAAACGTCTTCGTGGGTCTCAGCAAAGATAATTCACTCGGCAGGAATCGCTTCCTGCTTTCCCCGCTAAGAACTAGACCTACCCCATTCTTTCCGGGAGCCAATGGGCCTCCGAATGCAAGCAGGGAGCACAGGGATATTTACTCCAGCATCCATCACGGACTCAAGCCTGCCGCAGAGACTCAGATCAGGGAGGAGAGGGCGAAGGGGGTGGGGGGGAGAGCATTCATGCAGAGGCAAGCCTGAAGCCAGGCAGAGTCCAGGGCAGTCTGAGCCCCTTGGAGGAATGGATGTACTCACCTCTGTGCTTTGGCTCGGGGAGGCACTTTCTCTCTGGGGCCACGGCAGCTGCAACAGTCTACACAGCGTCCACCCTGTCCTACCAGGACCAGGCCAGGCCGGCCGCTTCAGCAGGAGGGGAGTTTCCAGTCGCCATCAGCAGGGAGTGTCCTTCAACAAAAGGAGGATCCCAGGCTGTTGACCTGCTCGTCTTCTCCCCCCTGCTCCTCTGATGCGAATGGAGCTCAAGGGAGCCCCGAGAGATGGGCTGGGTGCCAACCACACACCACACCCTCCCTGGCACAGGTTGTTTTCCCGGTCTTGGAGCCTGAAGAGGAGGCGGCAGAGGGGTCCCCAAGCCTCCCTCCTGGGGTGCCTGTTGGTGCGGCCAATCCCGGTGCACCCACAGGAAGCCCAAGGACACGCACTTGCGTGTTTATTTCTCCCCCTCCCATGTGATCTTATTTTTGGCCTGGACACGAGAGCTATTTGGGGGCTGGCCAGCTGCCAGGTGAAAGGACAGTTATCTCGTCCAAGTTGTCTCCATGCCTCTCGGAACTAGTCCCTGGTACCTTTCCCCACATAAGGCAGTGGGAGGGGGGGGGGGCGGTTGTCTCCCCCGGAGCCTTACTTTGAATATATCCAAGCAAATTCATCCAAATGACTAACTTTATTTCCACTAGTTTACCCCCACTCTTGGAGTTTTCACAGAGGATAAGTGCAGTGAACAAAGCAATTGCTTTTATGTTGGAGGCTGGTGACACATCATCTAGTCCACATACATAGGGTCGTCACGGACATGCTGTTTTAGACACAGACTCCTTACCAAGATCGGGGTGGGGCCTGGCTCTGGGAGCACAGTATTGAGGAGCTAGGCTCCAACATTGAATCCCTCGACTCTGCAGTTCCTCCTCCAGCTGTTTCTGCTTCTAGCTCAAAGGCTTGTAAAACCAAAGACATTTATTGAATAGCCTGATTCGGATCCTTCTTCAGATTTGAGTGGAAAGTTTGGAGACACTCCTGCCTGGAAAAATGCCCATGGGGTGTCATGCTCTTCGCCATCATCACCTTGACTTCCTGAGATCCTGCTACATGTCCGTCACATGCTGCCCACCTTTCCTGCATTGTGTCCCTCATCCTGACCACAGCCCACGAAGGCTGTCTTGTTCTGATTGACATCAGGAAGGCAGAGGCTGGCTCCAAAGGTGAGCTTCCCTCTGTCTGACTCCAGGGCAGATGCTTTCCGCCCTTGGCTCACTGTCTCCTGAAGCAACACATTATTGAGATGTCACTGTTACTCTCCTTTCATTAGAGGAAAAGCAAAAACCTCACGGTTGACTCAGTCCCATGACTTCAATCCTCAATATTTCCCCCCAAACTCAATTCTCAAAGGGGAGGAAGAGTGAGTGAGGTTTTCATTTGTTTATAGTCCCAGGCTGTAATTCTAGGTACAGAATGGAGAGTCTCTGGCTCCTTCTCCCAGTTTTCTGTGAATAATTCACTGTGCAAACAACACACAGTGGAGAGGACAGGGCTGGGCCGCCCAGTCTGGGCTCCCTACTGCATTCAAAGCCAGTTGCCCTTTCTCTCTGCTAACCTGAGAGTGAGCCTGAATGGAGCCCAACGGCTTATCCAACACTGCCCTCTGCAGGCCACTAGGCTGCTTTACCCCCAGGATGATGGTTTTGAAGACTTTCCAAGGGGTGCACCAAAGATTCGTTTTAGAGATCACTGTCCAGGTTCTCAATTTCTATAGGGACTCTTCCCTCCCACTGGCTTGTCTGCGAATGTGTCTGGGTTCACACCCTTCACAGATCTTGCCAAGTTGCCATTGCATCAAATGTAAAAATCTTCAGGTACAGGCCCCCAAACTAGAAGCTTCCTTTAAATATCTTAATTCAGCTCCCCTTAGTAATTATTTAAGGATTTTTTAAATTTAACAACCTTGTTTCTTCCATCCCTTGAACTTGAGGAACATTTTGTGAAAGCAAATGATAGAAAATATTGGAAAAGATAATAAATTAATAGGTACATATAGAGAATGATGTCATAGTTTAATTTCTAAATGCCAATATTACACTATGCTGGAAGTTATCTTAAATATATATGGACTTAATGATGAACGTTTAACATATCAACTTGAAAATGTTGGTATAGGTAACATTGTTTTTCAAAATTCTTTTAAAAGGGAGCAAAAGTGGGAAAATATTGCTATACCCTAGTGCTGATTAATTATAGGGTGCCATCCATCCGTCCATTCATCCATCCAACACACACCTAATATGTGTCAGGCACTAGATATAAAGATGGTGAACAAAAAAAATGATAGGTAGCATACCAAATTCTAGGAAGTTGAGTGGGGGACACAGAATAATTTAATAATTACTGCAATAAATGTAAGAATTCACTTTGATAAGTACTTCCAAGGAGGAGTGTTTGGTAATTAGAGAATGCATAATGGGGATTTAGAGTGTACAATAGGGTTGACCTAACTCATGGAGGACGTACCAGGTTGCCCCAGAGAAGTGAAATCTGGACCAAGAATAAGATATCCAGAAATCTCTGTGAAAATCCATGAAGAGAGGTCATATTAATATGGGAGGATTGGGTAGAAATGGGATCAAACTTTGTCGGTTGTTTTTAGAAAGGGCCTTTGCCCTTAGACAAATAAAACCCATATTATAAATCAGTGGTTCTCAACCAGGAGCAACGTTTCCTCAGGGGACCCTTGGAAGTTTCTGGAGACATTCTTGTTGCTGTAACTGGGATTGTACCAGTGGCGCCTACTGGGTCAGGGCCAGAATGCTGCTAAACATTCTACAGCATACAAGACAGCCCCACAGAGAAGAATTGTCCAGCCCTAAAAGTCAGTAGAGTTAGGTTGAGAAACCCTGTTACAGATGAGGGCAGGGCAGGCCCAACAAGTGTATACAGTGGATATGGATTCATTTGTTCATTCATTCATTCATTCATTCAACAAATCCTTATTCAGTGCCCGCTGTGTTTAAGATACTATTCTAGGCATAATCCAGCCATATGAGGCACCTCCTAACTAAAATCGTGGCTTCAAATGGCCTGTCTTAGTTGTGTCTCTGTCACCAGCCTAAAATTTACACCATTAGAATAGGAGCAAAACTGGTTTTATTGTCTGTAGAAAGAATACATTAAAATGTATTAGTATCATTTACAAAATGGTCACTGAAATATTGCTTATACTAGTGAAAATAGCCTAAATGTCTGTTAACAGGGAATGGTTACTTAATTATGGTACAGCTACACAATGACATACTAAACAGCCAATAAAAAGGAAAGAGGCAAATCTTTTTGAGATGCTGATGAAAATAACCACGAAGTACTATTAACTGGAAAAATTTCAGAATAACATATATAATTTAATTGATCTGATCTATGTTTGTAAAACTGGCTTATGTGTGTGTTTGCATGTATAATACATGCATGCAGTTCCTGAAGAAATTCTCACCAAATTCTTAAGAACAGCTTCCTCTAGGGGGCAGAAGAAAACCCTATAACATGTTCATTAAGAATAGCTTTCTACCCAACTTCTTCCTTTCACCTGATTAGATTCTTCCCAGCTCATCCTCTCCATTACTACCAATATTCATCCATCACCACTTTTAGAAATCCTTGAACTTGCCAAAACCGGTTTGGCTCAGTGGATAGAGCATCGGCCTGTGGACTGAAAGGTCCCAGGTTCGATTCTGGTCAAGGGCATGTACATTGGTTGCGGGCACATCCCCGGTAGGGGATGTGCAAGAGGCAGCTGATCGATTATTCTCTCATAGATGTTTCTAACTCTCTGACCTCTCTCTTCCTCTCTGTAAAAAATCAATAAAATATATATATTAAAAAAAAAGAAAGAAATCCTTGAGCTTTCAGCACAATATTGATGTCTTATTATTAAGTCCAAACTTGCCTCTAGCCAGTCTTCACAGGCTTTTCGTGGGAGCTGCTCTCACTCCCCCAGTCCAATTTCCACCTCACCTCCCTGAAGCATAAGCCACAGTGAACTCACCAGAACTCTTCACTCTTTCACAGGGTCACCTCTGTGGCTGGAAAAAAGCCCTTCTCCTTTTGTACCAATATAGACAGGGTTATACTGTGGTTATAAATAATCCCCAAATGACAGTGAGTTAAAATAACAAAGGTTTATCGCTCACTCATTGACATTAACATGTCCATTGACAGGCTGGCTGGCAAGCTCTGCTCCATGTCATTCTCAATCAAGGACCCAGACTGAGGGAAAGGGGAGATATGTTTACTAACACACCAGCACCTGGAGGTTACCTGTACTCACATTTCATTGGCCAAAATAAGTTTGATGGCCACACCTAGCATTCATTGGGGTGGAGAATTTCAATCCTCTTGTTTGATTGGAAAGTGGGGAGTGATAAATATTTGGAAGAAGGTGAATTCTGTGATTGTTGGGTGCAATATTCTATATATGTCCAGGAGGTCAAGTTTGCTAATCTTGTTCTCATAATCTACATCCTTATTCAGTTGTCTGGCCACTTCTGCTTATGGTTTTTGTAGATCTTAGCTTCAGATTTCTAAAGCAGCCTTATAAGGTATGTACAATTGAACTTTTTATCATTATGTATCTCTTGTTAACTGCAGTAATGCTTTTTGCCTTAAAATCTACTTTGATATTAAGATGTACTATTAATATATTTCCCACCATTTATTTACTTCCAACATTTTTAAAACTGTAGATGTTTCTTATAAAAGAGTATATAGATTCTTTTACTCAGTTCAACTTTTTGACTTTTAATTGAAGTATTTTGTTAACTTACATTTAATGTAATTACTGATATATTTGGATTTAAATCTACCAACTTATTAAATGTTTTCATTTATCTCTCATGCCCTGTGTTCTTTTTGTTCTACTTTCCTGCCTACTTTTGGAATAGCTGGATATTCTAGTTTCCCCTCTATAATCTTAGAAGTTGTATCTTTTTTTTTTTCTATTCTTTTAAAGGTTATCCTAGATATCAAAATATGTACCTTTTTAAAAAATATATATATATATATTTTATTGATTTTGTACAGAGAGGGAGAGAGATAGAGAGTTATTATAGAAACATCGATGAGAGAGAGTCATCAATCAGCTGCCTCTTGCACACCCCCCACTGGGGATATGCCCGCAACCAAGGTACATGCCCCTGACCGGAATCGAATCCGGGACCCTTCAGTCCCCAAGCCGACGCTCTATCCATTGAGCCAAACCGGTTTTGGCTGTACCTTTGATTTATCAAAATTTAATGCCAATTGGTATATTTATCTTCTTTTGTAGTAATACAAGGACCTTAGAACATTTTAATTTCATGTATCCCCCCCGCTTCTGACTTATATGTACTTGTGTATATTTATATACTTTTTAACCCTGGGTGGACATGGTTATGTTGTTTTTTTACAGGCTAATGCTTTTGAATTAACCAACTTTTGCATTGCTCTTCCTTTCTTCCTGAATCTATACCCTATCATCTTAAATAATTTTCCTTCTGCTTAAAGAACACCCTGTAGTATTTATTTCTGGAAAACAATCCTGAACAGCCCTAACCGGTTTGGCTCAGTGGCTAGAGAATCAGCCTGTGGACTGAAAGGTCCCAGGTTGGATTACAGTCAAGGGCATGTACCTTGGTTGGGGACTCATCCCCAGTAGGAGGTGTGCAGGAGGCAGCTGATCAATGTTTAGTTTCTTAGTGGTCCTTCCAGAACCAGTAAATGTACTAAAGGGAAAAGAATCCCCAGTTGTTGGACTCACCTCCCTGAATGCCCATCTTTTCCCAGGTCTTGGTTTGGCAAGTTTTTCATTATATTTTTAACTTCTTGAGGCCTTCAAGCTGATTTTCATTCCCCCGCGCCCCCCCCCCCCAGCTTTTCTTACTGTCCTCAGCAGGAGAGCAAGCCCTAATTATCTTACCTGCCATTACCAGATGGCAGGAAATACAAATGCAGGAAGGCCAGATGTATGTGCAAGTGGACACCTTATGTGGGTGGTGGGTACGGGGTTAACCAGAGAGCACGAGCCTATTTTTGCCTTAAAAGAATGAGAGTCTTACGTTGCCAGATTTTTCAAATTTTTTTAGGAGAAGTAGAAAATTCAGGCTTTTAAAATGTGAAATCCCAATTTTCAGTGGTGCCTTTTGAAAAAAAATTTCTCTCAATAAACCAAATAAGATCTATCTGCTGTCCCCAACCTTTCAGACCTCACGGACCACAGTGGTCCGCAGAACACCAGTTGGCGACCGCTGCTAAACCCGGCCCTCGGATACCAGCTTGAAATATCTGGCTACAGTCTGTGTTGGTGGGAGAAGAGGGTGAAGGTTGGTTCTCCGTCATCATGAACTTTAGCCTTCAGTAGTTTGGATGAGAGAGTAAATCCAGTCCCTCAGACAAAAAATATTATAGCACTGAAACCAATTTATGTTTTTACTGAAATTTCCAAGATGCCAAGGGGAAGGGTGGATTCCATTCATAGCACCAGCAGCATTTCTGAAAAAATCTCCCATATCCTCCTCGTGATAGCTCAGCGGCTACTCCTATCCCCTTTAATTTATCTCTTGAATTCCCTGAAGTTCAACCCATCCCTGGCTCTGTCACCTTCTGATCTATTTTGCTTTAGTAGATAATGTCCTACCTTTTTTTTTTTTTTTTTTTTTTTTTGCACCCACCAAGCCATCCCACCCACGGCACTGCACAATTCAGAATCCCTTCCCACGTTTTCCTACGTTCTGCACAGGAAAAGCTTCAGAAGTTAGCTGGCCAAGACGAAATCCTCCTTCACAGGAAGTGGGGGGTGGGAGGAACAATGCTGTAAAGACTCTGAAATATGTATTTTTTCCTGTCTCCTCAGCTCTGCCATCTGGGATGGGGCAAAGCCAGGACCGGATGAGTCGTCATTTGCAAAGGAGGCAGAGCCCATTTCTGGATGCTTTGGCACCAACGTGAGTTCTCAGATGGCTGAGGCTTACACTCTGTTGAAAGGACAGGGACCCCTGCCTAAACCACCACCCCTCCCACAAATGGGGGGTGAGGAGCCAGAAAGAAGAGAAATCAAATGTGAACTTTTCCTGACTTGTCTAAAAAAAAAAACAAAAACAACCACCAAGTAAGCAAAGCATGTCACAGAATAGAAAGCATTTGATAAAAATAGCATCTGTTAAGCTTGGGACTCAAGCTGGATGTTCTTCCTTGAGTATTTCCACACTAGTATCACAGTTATGTCTCCCTCATTAATGATAGAGCTTTAAAATGCTGCGTTTCTCCAACCAAAATACATTTCTTTTCCAAGGTCTGATGGAAGAAGTGTCAGCACAAGGCTGAGAGTGCCCTCCACCCCAGCCCTGCTGGTGGTGGGTGTGGCTTCACCATCCTCACCTGCCCTTGACTTTGAGACAAGGTTTGGGCCCCTCTTACACCAGCTTGTGAAAAGAGAAACTGGGAGAAGGTTTTCTAAACAAGCCAGTGCTGCTGAGTCATGGGGCCTAATTAGTAATAAGTTTGAAATCTTATTGCTCTGTGGAGAGGGAGCTCTAGTCCAGCAACCCTTAGGCAAAGCGTAAAGTAGGCAGAGGCTGCCGTCTCCCCTCCTTCCTCAAGCAGCTTCCAAAGCATCTGGGGGGGGCGGGGGGGGGGAGGATTTCCTTCCTTTACCTTCTTCTCCTGCTACTGAGAAGCCAGCAGGGGGTCCCCTTTAGGTTAAGATGGGAGCCTAGGACCTGGCCTTTCTCAAAGCACAGCCTAGAGCCCAGGGGATTACTGTCCTCAGGACTGTCGTCTCTATCGCCCACTCTTCCAGATCCCAGCTCCTCGATTCCCTGCTCTCAGTTGAGCTTCCTTTACAGACAAGCAAAGCTGAGCCAAACTAATCCTAGATGAGAACAAGTGACCAAGTGGTCCCTTTTAAATGGCGTAGGTTCTTTTTCTTTTTTTTTTTTTTAATTGTTTTTCTTTAAATCGTGGTAAGATACACACAACATAAAATTTACCATTGTAGCCATTTTAAGTATAGAGTTCAATGGCATTAGGTACATTCACACGGTGCAACCGTCATCACCCTCCATCCACAGAACTCTTTCATTTTGCAAAACTGAGACTCTGTGCCCATTAGACAATAACTCCTCCTCTCAGCCCACACCTCCCCTCAGCCCTTGGCAACCACCATTCTACTTTCTGTCTCTCAGTTTGACTGCTCCAGCTACCCCATGTGGGTAGAATCAGACACTATTTGTATTTTTGTGTCTGGCTTATTTCACTTAGCACAATGTCCTCGCGGTCCGTCCATGTTGTAGCAGGTGTCAGAACTCCCTTCCTTTTTAAGGCTGAATAACATGCCATTGCATGGCCATGTTGCTTTCTATGCTTCCGCTCATCCAGCAGCGCACACTGGGGCGCTTCACCTTTTGGCCATTGTGAATATGCTGCTACGAGCACAGCAGCTCTTTTCAACGGCTTTGACCTGTTTGTATTTAACAGAGTGTTTCAGGAAGGTAATCTATATGATGTGTGATTCCAGGGGCCTGAAGCAGGCTGGTGGGAGCTGTATTAGGTGGAAACAGACTTAGTGTCCCTCGTATCAAACCACACCACAATGCATATAGGGCTGCCCCACGATATGTGTTCTGGAATCATGTGTTTTGTATTTCCTCAATGAAAAAGGGTACAAAGTTATGCTTAGTAGGGAGAAAATGTTTCTGACTATAAACACATGGCTGTGGGAACTCTGACAGCAAGAGGTGATAGAGTGAAGCAGGTATAAGGCATTAGCATTAAACCTGGAAAACATGTTCCCCCCACATGGGCTTCAAATGCCTTCCTGTCCTGACTCTTTAGGGCCCTTGCTGATTCCATCTAACCCTTCCCCAAGCTCTCCTGTGTCTTCCACTGTCTCAGCTTTCCCTCCATCAGAACAACAATGCGAAGCAAAATCATAGCCCGTCCCTGATCCCTGGCTGGCTCTCATTCCCACCTTCTCTCCCTTTCCTCTCCTGGAGGCTTGTCTTTACTCTCCGATTCTACACCCCCCTCCCACTCTGGCTTCTGCCCTCAGTTGACCTGGTCTGGGTTCTACTGTGACCTTGCTGGTTTGCTGGTGGGGGCTCCTGGTAGACATGAGTTCAGCCCCTGTTCAAGGCAAGAGCCTGGCATCCTAAGAGTGGAGACAGCTTGCTTCAGAGGCAGCTCCTAGAATACCAAGGATACATAAATATTTCTTCCTCATTAAAAGAAAGCATATGGTATTATCCTGGGGAAGGTGTATAATTTATGAAACCACATCCTTGAAAACATGTGCAAATTATCTTTCAGATAGTGGAGCAGAGAGATTAGGAGATCAACTCTATTACCAGACCTCGATGCCATTCCCAGCTCTGCCGGTTGCTAGCTGGAAGACCTTGGGCATCTTAACGTAAACTCTCTGTTCTGCCTCACCTCATCTTGCCTTTAAAACGGGCAGGTATAACAGCACCTACCTTATAGGACTGTTTGAAGAAACGAGTAAGATAACCTGTGCCAAGTGCTGAGCATGTGAATAGCTAAGAAGCAGTTTATAAGGAGTAGCTCTCATTTCTACTTTTCATTGGTGTAAGTTGACCTTAGTATCTAAGTCTTCCTTGATTTCCATACCAATAAAACTTCAATGAGCAAATGTGGTAAGATGAAGGGATTTATTGAAAATTCTCTAGAGATCATTGGTTTCCTAATCAGAAACGCATCATAGGGGCAGCATGAGGAGCTACAAGGAGAAAATGGCATGGGGGTAAAGAAAAGGCAGAATCCTGGAACGAGGATGAGCATTTGTACATGTTGGAGGTAAACCGAAAGACACAGAGAGGATTAGATGTTTGTCTCAGTGGTGAGCCTCAGATGGGATGAGTGATCTCTGCTGGGCAAGGACATACACAGACTCTGGGAAGATAGCCCCAGGGAAATCTCTCGGAACTAAAATGAAATGATAGTCCACAGTCTGGCCACCAGAGGAGATGTCTGCTGTTTGATGAATCTGATAAAACTGTCGACCTCATTTTAAAATAAGCAGAACTATCCCAAGAACAGGCTGCAGAGGAGACGAGTAGGTATGTGGGTCTGATAAAAGGGCTGACATGTGGGCAGAAAGGGGAGGACACTGCCGTAGAGTTGGCACCTGCTGTTCCCACTCTAAAGGCAGCTGGGCAGAGGCAGAGTCTCGGCCTGCGCTATCCAGAGGGGAGCCCGGAGCGTGTGTGGCTCTGGAGCACCTGAAACGTGGCTACTGGAGCCTGAGATATGCTGTAAGTGTAAAATACAGATTTCAAAGACTGAGCGCAAAAAAAAAAAAAAAGTAAATTATATCAGCAATTTTTAAAAAAACCTCTTTCTACAGGAGGATGCCAGGTGCTAGAGACATTCTGCATATTGAGCTGGGTGTTGGCAACAGATGTGTTTATATTGATAAAGAACCATAAGCTTTACACTTCAGATCTGGGTACTTTACAAGAAGTAAACATCAATTAGAAATGCAAAATATTTTTTTCCCACAAAGCAACCTTCAGACCCAGGTGGTTTCCTCTGATTTCTACCAGATATTTCAGAACTCACGCCAGCCTCCCACACCGTCTTCCAGAACACACCCCGCTGCTCTCCCTGGATCAGGAGAACCTTGATGCCACCCCATAGCAGATACGACAGGAAAGGGAAACCACAGGTCAACCCCTTAAATGTCACCATCTGAAACCAAACGTGAGCAGCCTACATCCAGAGGTTTTAGAAGGGAGAGAAGCTTGGGTTTCATGGCAGGATTTCTGTGGGTTGATGTGCCACCAGAAGAGGCAGGGGAAGGGACAGTGTCATCGGGTAGGTGGGATACTAGTACACATCTGGTGACAGAGGTTAGAGGGTCTGGGTGACAGCGAGGGTTCTGGGCGGGGGTCACAGTCTGTGGGTAAGGGGAGGTCCCTCTATGAGGACATGCATCTCTGTCCCCTGCCGCTACAAGGTCTGGGAGGGATGAGGAGTTTGTAGACACCGGCATGTAGTGAGGGAGGAAGGAGAAGGGAAGGTGCCCGTTTAGAGCTAGTGCAGCCGCCGCCTGCTCTCAGCCAGGCCTTCGCCCAGGCTGCTCAGGCAGGTTCCGCAGACCGTGGAGCACACCAGCCTCATCCATCAAACACCAAAGCACCAGCCCAGCAGCTTGCCTTCCACCTGAATTAGCACTAACTGCTCGCCAGGGCTTGTCACTGAAGGTCAAGCTAATCCATTAGAGAGCTGCCATGTGGACAGCTGGTATATCAGCGATTTTTAAAATACTGATTATTTGTTAAAATGATAACAGTTTGAATATAAATGTTGGGTAAAATACTAAAATGTAAGTTCTTTTCTATTTTTTGCTTTTTTTTTTTTATAATGTAACTGCTAGATAATGTAAAATTACACACATGGCTCCTATTGGTGGCTTGCTTTATATTTTTGTTGGACTGCACAGGTCCAGACAGTCCTGCAATCCTCTTGCCCCACCCAGATCCAACAGGTTTTAACCATGACTGTGGACAAGTGATTTCACCTGTCAAAGTCTCCGTTTCCTCATCAGCAAAAGAGTGATTGTGAGAATGAAAGTAATTAAAAAGCATTAATAGGGTACCTGGCATGTAGTAAGTTTTGAACAAACCTAAATGAGTTTTCCTGTTATTATTTAAACCCAGTGAGCCAGGAGATTACCGTATGGCAGTAGCATGATATACTTAAGGCGATGCTCAAGGAAGCCTTCAGCCCACTCAACGTGAGAGGGAAGTCTGCCCATCTTTAAGAGCAGCGGTTCTTGGCCGGGGGCAGTTTTGTTTTCCAGGGCCATCTGGTGATTTCTGAGACATGTTTGCTTGTCCAAACCTGGGGGGAGACATTTGCTACTGGCACGTAGTGGGCAGAGGCCAGAGACGCTGTTGAACATCCTATAGCGTACAGGTGCCTGCAC